CTATAGATACAACTGGTGTGACCACTAGTTAAACAAAGATCAGGTCACAGTCTAGCTTGGTAGACAGCCTTATGTTATATTTCTTCTCCTCCACTGGTTTTCCCTCAAAATAAACTCTTTGGTGTTTCTGCTTCCAAAAATGCTGACCTACTATGAGTGTTCCTATCAGGGTGCATTGAAATTCAGTTTCTGTTCTACCTCCCATTCAGTGGCATGAGCGTTGGCTATTTAAATCTTTAGATGTCAAGACATGTCCCAAACTGCAGCAAAATCTGCAGGCAGTTTTCACTTACTCTGGGGGAAAACCATGTCATTTTGAGAGGTTGCTCTACCAACTCTTTCCATAAATACCAATCTAAATCTGATAAAGGACTCTTCTCTACCTTCTGGCTGCACTCCTAAATCCATACTGTCCAGCCCAATGGAGGGACCTCCATGGAGTCTAGGAAGAAAATGGCATATTACAGTGGAGCCATTTCTCTTCTTCTAAAATGGATCTGACCCCCAGTTTAGGAAATTTAGCAATATTGTGTGCTATTTAGCAAAGTGTAGCATGTGTCTTTATTCTGTTGCTATGGGCGAAACAATTTTGGTAAGGAAGCACATTTCAAAGGGTTATTATAAGGGGCAGTTTGTAATAAACTTAGTTTAACAAATATATTAAAAATACCACGGCACTGTCTTTTCATGTAAATGCTTTGGGGCTCAGGTACAAAGTTGAATTTGTCCAACTCGGTTTTAATATCTGCAGCATGACAGAGGTGATGAATACACGGGAACCTGTTATGGAAGAATTTACATTAAGCCAATCCCCTGAGGAAGAAGGAGGCCCTTCTACCCAGGTAAATATAAACACAGTATTTTGATTTGCTTCACAGTAACTAGCAAGTAAATATTAAGCCAAGGAGCAAAACGGACAGTGAGAGACCCAGTAAAATACTCTCTGAACTTTACATTTAATCCTATTTAAAGATTAAGGATCATTCTTTTAGTGAAGCCAATGGCACAGTTGCTATTGAGTTGAATGGGAGGAAGTGCTATTTCATGTAATTATAAAGTTATCTGGATATTGAAAGTGGAACAATTCAGGCAAAGACTGAGGCCTATCCATAACTCGTACTGTGTTATTGCCAAAAATAAGATAATGGTAAACATGTAGAATATTTTGAGGAGGGGAGAGGGGGCTTAGACATCACTAAAGAAGGACATATACAGCAAATATCTTACCACACCTCCTCTTACTACTGCCAGGCTAGCCAGGTAACTTCAAAGTGAGTTTCAATGTAAAGGAAGAGGTTGAATGATACAACAACAGAACTAAGATTATACTTGTCCGCTTTTTCATGTACTGTTTATAGTCCTTGTTTCAGCCTTAAACAAAGATGAATGTTATGTAGTTGTCAGCAATACTACCCGTATCTGTTGATTTCAAGCTGCAAACAGATTTTCTCAGGATAACTCATACAATTGCAATGCACTTGCCAACAGGCTCTCAAGTTGAACTACATAAACAGCAACTAAAATTCCCATTTTGTTTTAGTTGACTGTTTGCTGTGATGTCACTACCAGGGAAATAATTCTCTTGGGATGGTTCTGCTTGATGTCAGGTTTACTTTTCAACATGAAAGTCAGTGATGCAAGTGAAGTCGATACTGCCCACAAAAAAAGCAATATTAGAAGAAAATAGTTACAGTTCCTAAGTCAGGCTCTCAAAAGTTAGGAAATGCCAGAATTTAGGTGGTTTGTGAAACCTTAATTTAGCCCCCTTGTGTATATACATTAGGGTACTATTCCAAGTTTTTGATACAGTGTATTACTAGAAGATATAACATAAAATAGCAACTGATAATAATTGGAGCTTGTCTTTGGGTGAAAATGATCTCCAGGTTGCCCATTTTGCATGATTGTTACTAAATATTGAGTTTTATATTCTACATAATAATTCACTGAAATGAAGCTTCTTATTAAATTGTCATAGCGAGATGATGTGAATAAATCACATTGGAGTCATAGCAAGGAAGGACAAAGGATTTAAAAATGCATCTTAGATTTTACTAACATAATTATGACTTTGTGTCCTAAACTTCCTGCAGACATTAAACACAAACGTTAGACTCATCTTAGGCTATATACAATTAATTTTTTGCTAAAGCATTCTGATTACTTTTATTAAGCATGTTGTGTCACCTTAGTGATTGAATGCTGTCCATATGCTTTAGGCCAAAGAAGGATTTCTAGTACCAATCTCTTGTTCTTCAGGCAACTGGGGATTATCAAAGACAGTATACATAGCCATAAGAGCAGCTTTGTATCCCTTAATAATGCACACATCAGCTAGTGGGGTGGGGGAATGGGGTCAGTGGGTTCTGTATAGTGTCCTCTCCAGTACTTCTTGACTGGCAGTATATGACACAGGGCTTTTAAGGGGTATGGGTAACATTAAGGTAGAGGGGAACATATAGGGAATGCATTTGAATCAGTAAAGAAAGAGAAGTCCCTCTTCCTCAGGACAGCTTTCCTAAGTGCTCACCATCAGTCTCCATGAAAATCCATGTGCAGCTTTTTGACATATACATCACTAAAAAACTTACAAGGCTTTTCCAGACTCACGTGAGAAGTATCCCAAGTTGTCAAAAAGACTGCCATCCATTGTGGTGGAGCCAACTGAGTCAGGGGAAGTTGAAAGTGGGGAGCTACGCTGGCCACCTGATGACCTGAAACCAGGGGAAGATAAGAATCCCCTTGCTGACCAAAGAGTCCGTGTTCAACAGCAGCAAATGGGGCTGGAAGGTATGAATTAATCATTTCTCCCCTCTGATATTGAGGCAGTGCAGAGCATGACAATTCATAGAAGACATATAGAGGCATGCAGTGGGTACTTCTATGCTACATTGATGGTTGCCTTAGAGATACCTGAGCTGATCTGAGATAGTTGAAAGGACTGAAAACTCATTGCTTGCTTTAGAGCAGGGGTGCCAAACATACGGCCTGTGGGCTGGATCTGCCCATGGAGGGTAGTCATTGGGCCCAGGGGGCTTACGTTACAGTTGCCAGCAACAAAGGAGTTAATACCACTGCTGCTCAAGCCCCGTTGTCATGGCTGGCGCAGGCAGCAAGCAGAGGGTGAGTGCACCACTGAACTTAACTTTTCTGATCACTGCTGGCAACTAAAACTCATGGCAGCTGGCGCTGGGGGGGCTGAGGGGTGGCACTGTTACCTCCTTGGGTGCTGGCCACACTGATGCAGC